TTTTCAGGAGCGAGCTTAGAGCCAAGTTAATGTTCAGTATTTAAAATAAGAATAGAGATGCTTCATCAGAACACTACTATTAAAATGAAACTATTTTCTCTTCATACTGAAGGTAAAGATCAGTTGCTGCAGCCTAAATATACATTCTGTAGTAACAAACTTTCAAAAGGGAAGAATAAATGAGTGCAGATGCTAACTAGTATAATGTTGTAATGAATATCATAAAATACAAATAATAACAATATATAAATACCCGAAAGAGAATAAAAATAGAACAAAAATAAAGTAGATTGTAGAAAACATCTACAAACTGCTATTGAACTTAATCTTATGATACTGACCTATTTTTGTTTTGAGTAACCTAAATTGAACAGTTGGGTGCTGAAATCAGTTTATGAAAAATACAATTAGTATCTAGTTCTAATCTAAACTAGATATAAATAGTTCTGAAGTGTGGTTCAGAGCACAGAAAGAATTAGCATAAGAACATTTGCTGTTGTGCTACTATATATACAAGCTTTTATTTTGTATCAAATGCTGTTTGCAAAAGGTGTTCAGTTATTAATCAAGATTTTAAAAGACAAGATTTTGAAATGTGAGAAGGGAAGATATTTGCTCTTCCTAGAACTGAATTTTTTTTTTAACCAAATTTTCCTCTTCTCTTCCCTTGTTCCCAGATGAAATTGCTGAAGCAAAGTCTGGGACTGCAACTCCACAGAGATCAGGTTCTGTGAGCAACTATAAATCTTGTCAAAAAGATTCAGATGCTGATGCTCAAGGAAAATCTGCAGATACATCCCTTACCTCATCAGTCAACTCTTCGCTTGACTCTTCTACAGCTGACGTAACTCCAAGACCAGGGAGTCATACAATTGAGTTTTTTGAGATGTGTGCAAATCTTATTAAAATACTTGCACAGTAATTTTGAAGATGGGCTTATTTCTTTTAGAGCAATAAGCATGCCTAAATCATAGTCAGATGCTTCCAATTATAATCAAGTGAAATTAACTAAGGCGCTGAAAAAGCTAGCCACAAAATGCAACTTGCACGGGGATAAAAATTATTATGGGCAGTTAACATGTATTATTTTGAAGCTGGAGTGAATTCTGATTGCCTGCTGTCCAATAGCATAACACAGGTACAGGAAATAACATGCCCTTTGGGTAGTGTTTGTAACATTTTACCTGGAGTGCAAAATAGGCTGCCTATAACATTTAAGCTAGATGGACCTCCTTGTTTTTTTATCTAGTTATACATATATCTGATGCACTGTAAGTTAACGTACACGTACTAGTTCAGTGATCTTAGTATGATTTCTTGGTCACCCTCTACAGTTGTGACTCAGAACTATCAGCATCTCCTAACAGATGTTAATGTGTTTAAACTGCTATGTTTCTTCCCCCTTATTTGACAAAAAATAATAAAGAATGCTATGATGTGTTACAATGTACTACTTCTAACAAAAAGTGTTATTCAATGCATGCAAATTTGGCCAGTTGGAAATGTGTAGCTGCTCTGTAATGAATTGAGGGTGAAAACTCTGTGGACAGTGAGTAGAATGATTGAGTCCATAACAGTGGCAGGAAACTGAATGCTGAGAAGATGTGGCATCCCATGGACTAAACCAAAATGTTGCTTTGTGGAGAACCTGTCAGGGAGCTCCTCCTTGTCTGTACATCTTATCTTAGTGTGGTAGCAGCACAGCAGCTCCCCACTGCAACTGAATCCTTTTCCTTAGAAACATGTCTCTGTAGTTAAGAGCAGAGCCTGAGGGCTGTTTCATGCTATTCCAGAATCTGAAATTTACAGGTTTTTAACATATATATTCATACTTTATTACAGCTGGTTATCACCTTAACTTATATTATACTATATAGTATTCAGTCTGAAGTGAAAACCACATACACAGGTTTCTAATATTTCCCAGGCAACCTCTGTAGGAAACTCAGCTTTTTAACTGAATCAAACAGTCTAACTTTTCAGTTGAACATTGAAAACTCATCATGACAACTTGAGTGCTAGAGTTCTTAATTGTAGATTGCAATTACCCATAATAAAAGTCATTCTGCATTTGTGGGTTTTGCAGCATTTCAGGAAAAAACCTGAACTTTGTATGTTAAAATCACAGGTAGTACTTGCATGAATATCTTTAGTCTCTTTAAATTGGATATAATTAGCTATGGTTCCATTTTCATCTAGCACTTAGACATAAGCAGTCATAAAATACTTAGGTTTGCATTCAAGACTTAATGCTTGCTTCAAAATAATATTCATGACCTACATAGTTTCAAAGGTTGCTCCCCCAGGAAGAGGCTGGAACTTCCAGGCATTACTGAGCAGTGAAACCTGGACTCTTCACATGGATGGAAATTCTTGCCAATGGCTGAGATTTTATCCATGGGAAACTGCTAGCTACAGATGTAGGATCAGTTAAATCCTGGCCAGCTGGCTGCAGCTCAGAAATTTGCATGCACAGAATCTGAAGAAACATAAGGCTGTTTTGAAGCCCCTGAACTGTTTTAACTGTATTTTGCACTGGTTGATAGTGAGGTCTGTCTCAGAGGTGGGTACAAGTTTACAACTTCCTTTTTTTTATCCTCATGTGTCACAGATGGTCCCTGTAGGGACATTGGTTGTATCACTGTGCTTTAAAATGGAAGATTTTCCAAAGTGGAAGTTAGTATCAGAAGTTGAGCCCCAAAACTTTAGGATGCTGGTGTGAGGGACCAGTTGCAAATCCTACAAAGAAGTCTGTCTTTAGTCTTGTACGAATTGGTACTGATGTACTGAATAAATCAATGTGTTCATTTTTGTTACCCTTTATTTTGGAATTAAGTATTGCACTTGTATAAACACTACAAACGCACAGGTTTTTAAATTGTAGCAATTCCTCATCTGGAATTGGTTTGGGATCACTTGCATGTATTGAACTATTTATAAATGTTATCTGCTCCTTGTAATGCTGACAACACATGCAAGGTGTAAAGATGCAAAATAGTTCTTAATTTTATATACCTTTTCAGCCCTCTTGTGTTTTAAGACAACCCTGGTTTGTCTTTAGTTTTGGTATCAGGAAGTTAAAGCAAGTTTCTGGCAGAAGTGTACAATATATGTAGTTGTAAATAAAAGTCCATTTTTATGGTAGATCAATTTTGATGGCCAAAGGTTTTCTGATTGAATTGAGATTTTTATAGGGAGGGGGAGGGGTAGAAAGGGGCACTAACAACCCAGTTGAACCCAGTTGCCTGTTGTGTGACTTTCCTATGCTTTGTAGATCTTGCTGTTGAAATTGCTTTCTTCACATGTTCCTACTGATCTTGCAGGCCTTTAGGATTGCACTAGAAGCTGCCAATAGGCTGTGAAATGAAACTTCACTGAGAGAGCTGCCAGAGTTGTAAGGCAGCTTATGCAGATACACAAACTGGTAAAGTGTATTACTCTGTATTCCCAAGCTTACTCCTGTTGGAGTACAATGAGTTACCTTGTCTTTGTATTGTAATTTCTTCAGTAACATGGATGAACCTGGGCTGTCCATATGCAATATAAATCACTAGGTAATGGATAAAAATTCATCTTGGTGGTGCAATATGAAGAAAGAAAATCCTTTCATGTTTGTCTTGATATGAGTGTTTAATAGAAACTTCGAGCTAAATTTTATTTTACCAGTTGATTACCATTGTAAGATACGAAGTCCTGTTCTTTAACAAAGATGTGCCTACTTCCTGTTAATTTCTTTTGAAAAAGCTGAATGGCTAAAATGCTTGTTTCTAACTGTATAACTTTTTAACCTTTCAAAACTAAAAACTAAGTAAACATAAAATACTGAACCATCTTGTTTGAAACTGTGTGTTTGCTGTTTTCTAGTGTTATATGTAGGTGGACAAGAACTGTTGTGCTCGTTTTAAAAGCAACAGCTACTACAATTACAGAAAAAGCAGCAACGTGACAAAATGACAGCAGATTTCCCAGCTGGCCAGGCCGGTGTACCAGCTATGCCTGCCTGATCCGACTGACCCTTTCCCCCTCGATCTTGTAAAACTCTTGCGGCAGAAAAGGAATTCGAGATGGAACAAACTCTGATCGCGTCTTTTGTGCCCCTGTGGTGATGCGCCTCCTCTCGCATCTTCACTCAGCCTTTCCCTCGCACCACGGATGGGGCTTTTCGCTCGCTCTTGGTCCCTGCAAGCAGGGACCAGTTTTAAACACTGCCGCCCTGCAGTTCTAAACCCTGTCTTCTCTTTTTGTTTAGGGTTTTTAGTTGGTTTATGTGTTTGGGTTTTTTTTGGGGGGGAGGGGTTGAGATTTTTTGTTTGTTTGGGTTTTTGTTGTTGATTTCTATCGGGCTTTTTTAATGCTTTTGGGGTTTCTGGAGGGTGGTTTTTTTTTGTTTTGTTTTTTTTTTTTTTTTTTTTTGTTTTGTTTGTTTTTTTCTTTTTTTGGTGTGTGTGTGTGTGTGTGTGTGTTTAGTTGTGGTGGTGTTTTTTTCCCCGCGTAAAAAGCCGTGTTTGTGCGCCTGGCTCACTTCTCCTTACGGGCCTCCCCGGCCGGAGCCGCCTCTCCGTGGTGCGTGGCTGCTGTCCCAGGGCGGTCGGCACAGGCGGGGGACACTCCCGCCGTCCCATACCTGTCCCCGGGTGACACTCCAGCACCGCGGGCGGTGGCACTCCCAGGCCCGGCTGTTTCGTCCCCTCCGGTCCTGCTCTCCACCGCTGCCTCCTACGCACAGGAGCTGGGCAGCCGCCGGGCGCTTCACGGCATCCACACGGCTCTGCCGCGCCGCGCCGGGGCGAACTACGGCTCCCGGCTGTCCCTGCCGGGGCCACGGGCACCGCCGCTGCCCTCGCTCCTTCCTGCTCCTGCTCCTGCCGTGCCGCCCCGCCTTTCCGCTTCCTGGCGCGGCGCTTCCAGCCGGGAGAGGCGGCCGGCAGCAGCGCCAGGTACCGCCGGGCCCTGCGTGCCTCAGGGACAGCTTAGCGCCGCCGGTCGGGTCAATTCTGTGTGGGGGAGTGCCGCGCTGTGTTACTGCTTTAGCTTCGAGATGAGCGAAGCAGTATTGTCCTGCTGTGTATTTAAAAGCAAAATTACCTAACTATTTAAAATGCATTCTTCCTAGTTCTCCAAATGGCTTCTTTTGGGTGGAAGAGAAAGATTGGTGAGAAGGTCTCAAAAGCTACTTCTCAGCAGTTCGAAGCAGAAGCTGCGGATGACAAGGATCTGGGTGACGATGACGATGCTACCTGGGTGCTCGCAGCTAAGAGGAGAAAGGAAGTTCTCTTAGAAGATTGTGTAAGGAAAAGTAAGGAGCTCAAGGATGAAGGTGCAAATTTGGCTGAAAATAGGAGGTATTAATGTTGTCTTACTCTCTTTTCATTGACTGAAAAGTTGCTTCATGATATTTTAATCCTTTCTCTAAACACTAGTAATTTCCTAGTATCTGCATTGATAGTTTCCATAATTTGAAAAGTGATAATTTCTTTCATTCTGCCTTTACTGTCTGGTACTGCCTGGTACAAAGTTTTTGTCTTTGGTGGTGTTATCAGCTGTGAAACAAAGTATATATTCCATCTTATCTTTGGATGTTCTCATAACAACAGCAGCAAAGATTGCCACTTGGGGCATAGTGATCACGAGATTATAGAGTTCTCTATATTTGGTGAAATCAGGAGGAACATCAATAAGACTATGACATTGGACTTCTGGAGCGCAAAGTTTGGCCTATTTAGGAGACTTATTCAGAGAGTTCCTTGGGAAGCAGCCCTTAAAAACAAAGGAGCCCAGGAAAAGTGGGCGTGCTTCAAAACAGACATCTTGAGGGCACAGGAACAGACTGTCCCTGTGTGCTGAAAGATGAGTCGATGAGGCAGACGTCCAGCCTGGATGGGAATTTAGGAATAAAAAGATACATAAAAATATCATGTTTGGAAGGAGGGTCAGGTCTCTCAGGAAGTATTTAAGGGGCTTGCTAGGGAGTGTAGAAAAAAAAATTAGCGAGGTCAAAGCTCAGTTTGAACTTAATTTGGCAGCTTTTGTAAAGGATAATAAAAAAAGTTTTTACAAATATGTTAATGGCAAGATGGAAGGGTAAGACCATCCTTTGTTCTCTACTGGATGTGGGAGGGAACTTTGTAACTGCAGGTGAGGAGAAGGCAGAGGTGCTTAACACCTTCTTTGCCTCAGTCTTTAGTGGGAAGATGGCTTGTCCTCAGGACAGCTGTCCTCCTGGGCTGGTAGATGGTGTCAGGGAGCAGAATGGTCCCCTTGTTATCCAGGAGGAGGCAGTCAGAGAACTGCTGACCTGCTTGGATGTTCATAAATCTGTGGGACCAGATGGGGTCCATCCCAGGGTGATGAGGGAGCTGGCAGATGAGCTTGCAAAGCTGCTTTCCATCATTTACCAACAGTCCTGGTTCACTGGTGAGGTTCCAAATGTCTGGAAGCTGGACAGAGTGATGCCCATTCACAAAAAAAGGATTGGAAGGAGGATCCTGGTAATTATAGATCAGTTGGCCTGACCTCAGTAGCTGGTAAGGTGATGGAGCAGTTTATATTGAGTGTGATCATGCAGCTCTTACAGGATGGCCGGGGTATCAGACCCAGCCAGCCTGGGTTGAAGGGTAGGTTGTGTTTGACCAACCTGGTCTCCTTTTATGGCCAGGTGACTGCCTGGTGGATGCAGGAAGGGCTGTGGATGTTGTGTACCTGGACTTCAGCAAGGCCTTTGACACTGTCTCCCACAGCACACTCCTGGAAAAGCTGGCAGCCCACAGCTTGGGCAGGAGCACTCTGTGCTGAGTTCAGACTGGATGGATGGCCAGGCCCAGAGAGTCATGGTGAATGGTGCTGCATCCAGCAGGCCTGGAGAAAAGGAGACTCAGGGGTGACCTTATCACTCTCTACAACTCCCTGAAAGGTGGCTGTAGTCAGGTGGGGTTGGTCTCTTTCTCCAGGCAGCACTGACAGAACCAGAGGACACATTCTTAAACTGTGCCAAGGGAAAAGTAGGTTCGATATTAGGAAAAAGTTTTTTATGGAAAGAATGATAAAGTACTGAAATGGTCTGCCCAGGGAGGTGGTGGAGTCACCATCCCTGGATGTGTTTAAAAAAAGACTGGATGTGGCACTCGGTGTCATGTTTTAGTTGAGGTGTTAGGGATGGGTTGGACTCGATGATCTCGAAGGTCTCTTCCAACCTAGAGATTCTGTGATTACAGAGGTTGACAGATGAAAAACTGACTGGATCTGAAAGCTGAAAGGGTAAATAGGATGCAGGGTGATAAGCCATACCATAAGTAACACTTTAGCCACTCTGGAAAATGTCTCTTTTCCCTTACTGAGAGTAAGCCTATTGTCCTGTGCCCAGTGCCCAGGCCAGTACTGCCGAGCAGCTAGTGCACTGTTAATCTGCCTAGTGCTTTGTGAAGTCAGGTACAGGGAACTGCTGCGAGTGCCCTCTGAGTACTGGGAGTTTGCCAGTTCTGGAAGGATATTGCAAGAGTGGTTCCACTGTCTTCTTTTGCTTCAAGCAGAAAGTCCTTTTGGAGTCGAGGTGTGTTGGAAGAGAGAGAGGTGGACTGTAAATTGTGCATCGGCTAGATAATTTGGCCAGATCTTCACTGGAGGGGGAAGAAACAGTTCTGAGAACAGTCCCTTTAAAATCTTCAGAGTTCTTTGACATGTGAATTTTTATCCTTCCTTTACTTTTAGAGTAATCTTTATTGTCCCAGATCAGAAATATTATTTTCCTGGTAGAAATATTACCAAGATGTCAGTAGTCGCTCCTGTGCTGTTAAACTTTTTGTCTTAAGAAGTATCATGCTAAAAAAGTGTTTCCTGGGTGATGTGGGAGAGAGAACAGCTTGGAAGTTTAATGCAGGCGAGTTTTTATATCATAATAAACATACTGTGAGTATGGTTGGGTCTGATTTTAAAAAAAGTAATGAAGAAATACAAAATCCCTTTGAGAAAAGGCTTATTTTCAAATATTTAAATACAGTTTCCTCTTTTAACTAGTCACTCAAATAGTGACACTGTTCAGTGAGTGACTTCAGTTGATTCTTTTGTGTTCCTGAGGCGTGTAATTTCTGAATACAATTTTGAAGCCTTTTAAAGTTGAGTTTAAATTAAAACCAAGTTAAATTTAATAAGTTTTAAGCATCCTGCCATTGTATTAATCAATAGATTTCATGCAGTAGTTGCATAAGTGGGTTACATTAATGTTAATAATTGAAAACTCAGAATGTACAAATTAGTAGTCAGTTAACATCTCTGTTTTTAACACCAGAAATAGATCATAGATTGGTCTACTTAAGGTAGATCTAATCTGTCCTTTTAGGAATACAGAGATTGCTAAATATTTTTATCTAATCTTGAATCCTTAATACATCCTGTACTTACCTATATAAAACAGATTGATTTTTTTTTTATTTCTGTCTTCAGTTATACATATGCCTTCCTTGTATTTCACTTTGCATGTTGTATATCTTTTCTCTATGTTCTTTTTTGATTTTTTTGGTGTATTTTTTAAAGTGCAGTAAGTCTCTTGACAGAGAGAGTGGCAGATATTCCGTTGTAGATGTGATTTAGGTCGGGGGCATACTGAACAGCAGGTCATTTTTGATGCTTTTGATATCTTCACTTGGTCTTAAAAACTGAGTTCTTCATTACGTGTCAGTCAGAAAACAACACAAAAGCTTCACCCATCCGTAAGTAACAATGTAAGCATTTTCTGTGAATTTAGGGAGTGCTTAGAGTGCTTATCAGAAGTGCTTATAAGAACTGCTGAGAAACTCTCAATGGCTTACAAGAAAAAAAGTTAAAGAAGTTAACGTTCATATCTGAGGCTCAACAGAAATTCCCACTTGAACTTACAGTTTCCATCAGTTACTCCAGCACACTCTACAGTTCAGGCAGTGATGGTGCTGTTGGAGTACATAACTTTCAGACAGATTTTCTCTATAAAAAAAAAATTCACATAGGTTTTACTCCTTCTGACAGAAAGTGGTTGCTGTGATTGTGTTCAGACCTAGACCACGTAGGTTTATTTCTTGAAATATGCATTTGTACAGCAAAAGCAGACTCATGAGAATAATTATACACTTAAGGTGGATTGTGTCCTGAAATATCAGAATGTGCTAATAATTAAAAAAATATCTGGGTTGGATTGTGTAGCATTCTAGAAAAAAAGCAAATACCTAGCACTAGAAAGTAACAAAGGTTGGTTCTTAGTTAGTGTTACTTGTGGAGTGAAGGGGAACCTAGAAGAAAAACTTGTGAAGAAGCAGGGGGCGGAAAAAACCAAAGAATTAAAGTAATAAATTAATTTCTTACCGTGGAGAGACTCTGAGGTAACGTGCATGGCAGAAATTAATATGATGAATTTTATAAGCAGACCCGCTATTACTTAGCTGGAATAGTCATTACCACATTTATGTTTTATTAGTCTGCTCAGCTTACTTTTTGGGTAAGGGGAGGCAGTGTTGGTGTTACAAGCCCCATCGTGGTTTTGTTATTGTCTGTGTACACCATAAGCCTGTTTGTGTGGAAAAGTGAGATCTCAGTTTGGTGTTTCACTGGGTTCTCAGTGCTTCTCTGAGGGGGAGGGAATAATGAATGGGATCCTCAGGCACCAGAATTTATGCAGCCTGTGTTATTTGCTTGCTGTCACACACTTGGGAGTGGCAGTGGGGGAATGTTTGGGAAGTGGTGAAAACCCTCTGTGGGTATTCAGCTTTCATGGAAGTGTTTGAGGAGTATTTGTACCTGCTGTAATGTGTGTGTGCATGAACCTGATAAGCTGAGACAGACAAACAGAAGAAAAACAGTGATGAAGATGACAGTTTCTGATCCATATTTTGCATTTTTTTGTGAGATGGAAGAAAGATTAAGAGTCTACCAGAAAAATGTGTTAAACTAAGTTGATATCACAGTGGGGGTGTTACTGTGAAAAACACTGTTAAGGAGACTTTGACCTAGAAATTTGATAAGTAGGCAGTGTTGAAGGCGGCTTGTAAATTGATGATCTTGTCAGAGCAGCTAGAAAAGGCAGATGTGTGGAAGAAGAATCACATTTGTATGCTCTTTTGATGTGTGAGAAGGAGCAGGGAAACAAATGTGTACAAACACACAGTCTTTTGGGAACAGGCACATGGTGCTATTTTTTGGCTGTCGTGCAGGGCAAGGAGGTGGCCTTTGATGATCCCTGTGGATCCCTTCCAACAGGGTATTCTGTGATTTCTATAAACAGAATATTGTCTGTTGATGGAAAGTATGGAGAATATTCTAGAGGGCAGTTTTTTTCCTTGTAGGAAACTTGAAATACTGGTGAATTATCTGTCTTGAGACA